TTTGTCACAGAGTCAAAATTTCAATACGTGCTGGCTATTTTCTTAGATATATCTGGCGCCTTCGATAACGCATGGTGGCCCATGCTGTTGCTGAAATTAAAATCACGGGGGTGCTTTAAAAATATTTATTCCCTTATATCTTCGTACTTTTCACAAGGTACTACTAAACTAAGACTTGGTCATCATTCTGTGTCGAAGGCGCTTACAATGGGATGTCCTCAGGGATCGGTGCTAGGTCCATACTTGTGGAATATCGGCTTCGACGATTTTCTTGCGATACCAATACCATCCGGATGTACTCTGAACGCGTATGCTGATGACGGCTTATTACTGGTGGAATCTGATACTAGGGCGGGGCTTGAGAGACTAGCCAATAGATGTATGAACTTGATATCTCAATGGGGTGAACGTAATCGCTTAAATTTTGCACCCAACAAAACCTTCCAGCTACTTTTAAAAGGTAACCTCAAATCACCGCCAAGCATTAGATTTGACAATGTTACTGTAAAAAATAAGGCCTCAGTGTGTTACCTAGGATTAGTTTTAGAAAGAAACTTTTCATTTATCGAACATATTAAAATAGTTAATGAAAAGTCTAAAAAGAGTTTCTGTGCATTGACAAGGATATCAACTGCGACATGGGGTCTATCATTTAATACATTAAAGATCATATACGGAGCTACTTATTTAGGTTCTATGTGCTATGGTGTACCTGTATGGGCCGATAGGGCGACCGTAGGCGCTGTCCGTCGCAAACTGTTACAAGGCCAACGACTTGCACTGATATTCTTGTGCAAGGCATATAGGACGGTTAGCACCGAGGCTTTGCCGGTGTTGGCGGGTGTGCTTCCGGTTGATCTCGAGGTGCAGAGACGTGCAGCCATGTACTATTCAAGACAACAAAACATGGAATGCGATTTTTTGGGCGCGCGGGATCGCGGTAAAATTACAAGATTGCTTCAACAGCAGCCCGATGTCTATAATGACCTCATAGACGAATGGCAACAACGCTGGGATGAATCATCCAAGGGGCGCCATCTTTACCAATTCTTTCCATCTGTTCGCGAACGGTTGTCGAGGATATGGCTTGAGGTGGATCACTGTGTCGCTCAATTTCTTACGGGTCATGGTAACTTTAAGAGCAAGCTTTATTCATTTAAATTAGTCGAGTCACCATTATGTCAATGCTCAACACCTAACTCTCACTATGAACAGTCTGCTCATCATATCCTCTGGGAATGTAGTCTTTGGTATAATGAACGTAATATAATGCTGAATACCTTGCAGGTGACATCTGGGGCGGTATACTATGGGGATCTTGTGTCAACTAGGGTGAATTTCCGTGCGTTTAGGCGATTCTGCCATACATATTATAGAAATCAAATATAGCTCACGTAGGACCCGTAATATTTCGTGGCCGTGGTGCTTCCCTGTTTAAAAGGGTGTATGCCCATTTTATTTCATTTTGTCTCCCGCTTTGCTAAGGAGGGAAGTGGATTTACTGTATTTCCAACTCCTCCAATTTTCTTCTGATTAATTTCGTTGCGGGTTCCAAGACAGTTTAATTTCTTCCTGGGACTTCCCGAGTGTCATAACTCGGTGTGTTCGTGGGTCACTGCTGTGGATCCTGGTGTACAGGAGTTACAGTGGTGGGCATGTGGGCGGGATTAGTCCCAATTACATAGATTATAAGAAAGCGTTTGACAGCATCCCACATTCTTGGCTTATAAAAATTTTACACATCTATAAAATTAACCCTAAAATCACAGCTTTTATGCGCGATATTATGAGTAATTGGAAAACTACATTACATCTAAAGATGAATGATAGAACAGTCACGACCCGACAAATCTCTATAAAAAAAGGTATATATCAAGGTGATTCCCTGAGCCCCTTGTGGTTCTGTCTTGCCTTGAATCCCTTGTCTCATTTGCTGCAGCGATGTCAGGCAGGATATCGTCAGAGGAATTCTACAGAAGAAACTATTATCTCTCATCTCATATACATGGACGATATTAAACTATATGCAAAATCCGATAAAGAAATGACAAAACTTTTAGAAAATACAACAAAGTTCAGTAAAGACATAAATATGGAATTTGGACTGGATAAGTGTAAAACATTACACATAATCAGAGGAAAAATACGCCCTTGGGACTACGCAGTGGATGAATCAAGTACGATAGCAGCTTTGGAGCCAACAGATTTATACAAATATTTAGGTTATAAACAACATAAAGGGCTGGATCACACCTCCATCAAACAAATATTAACTACTAAATATAAAAGTCGAACTAACACATTATGCAAAACCCAACTTTCAGCTAAAAATCTTATAAAAGCATTAAACACATACGCTATTCCAATATTAACCTACTCATTTGGCATTATAAAATGGACAAAAACTGACGTAGAGCAAATAGAACGAACTACACGCACTACATTAACGAAACACAACAACCTACACCCTAAATCCGCCATAGAAAGACTTACTATCAAAAGAGAAATGGTGGCAGGGGCCTAATAGATATTTATCATCTTTGGCAAAAACAAGTTTATAATCATAACATAAACATAACATAAAACATAACATCCATAAAGCCATAACTCTAAACGACTACAATTTCACATCACTAAACTTAAATGATCACACTGGAATACACAACCCTAATAACATAGACCCACAGGTAGACAAAATAGAAAACTGAAAGAAAAAGGCACTACATGGAAGACACCCTCAAGATTTAGAGCAGCCCCACATTGATACAATAGCGTCAAATTCATGGCTTAAAATTGGTAACCTATTTCAAGAAACAGAGGGATTTATAATAGCTATACAAGACCAAATAATCAATAGGAAAATTATAGAAAATATATAATCAAAGATGCATCCGTCACAGATGATAAGTGCCGAATATGCCACATTCAATCTGAAACCATTCAACACATTACTGGAGCATGCATTACCCTCACACAAACGGATTACACACATAGACATAACCAAATAACTAATATCATCCACCAAAAATTAGCACTCAAACATCATCTTATACAAAACACAAACACACCTTACTACAATTATACTCCTCAATCTGTATTAGAAAGTAGCTCACACAAACTTTACTATGACCGCGCCATCCTCACAGATAGAACCATCCACTATAACAGACCAGACATAACCCTACAAGACAAAATTAACTAAACCACCTACCTAATTGATATTGCAGTACCGAATACACACAATCTACAGAAAACCATCACAGAAAAAATTAGCAAATACACAGAACTAAAAGAAGAAATAATACGAATCTGGAGACAGGAGAAAGTTTACATAGTACCCATACTTCTATCTACCACAGAAGTTATACCTAAACATCTTCACCATAGCCTTAAATTAATAAATTTAAATGAATCCGTGTATTTAAACCTACAGAAAACAGCATTATTGAACACTTGCCGAACAGTCAGAAAGTTCATGGATATTGAAGAGAACGGAACAGCACAACACACACAGCAACTACCATCTACATCTACATAACAAAGACACACACCTCACTGTATTTACTTGATTTTGGCCCGTAAATACAGTTGAAACCAGCCTTGAGCTGAGAAAAATTAAGATAATAATAACATAATAATATTGTAACACATTTACACAACGCCATCTAGTCCCAAACTAAGCAGAGCTTGTACTAGACAACTGATATAAATACATATATACTTTTTTTTGTAAATATATACTTATTATACATAGAAACACCCAGACCAAATCAAACATTATATGTTCATGCACACAAATATTTGACTTGAGCGGGAATCGAACCCGCGACCTTTGGAATAGCACCACCAATAGAATTGTCCGTTACACAAACCACTACGCCATTCGGTCGTAAAATAATAATAAGGTGTATAATATTTTTAGTTTATATATGTATATATTTGTATATATCTAAGTATGTAGTATTGAGTGTAGTGTATATTTTAGTTGAATAGTAATGCAATCTTTGTGTGCCTATTACTAACAATTTTTATACCATCTAAAGGTTGATTGGAAGAGAATGCCCTGGGCATTAAGTCCGCCGTTGTATAAGAGTGCATAAAGATGTGTAAATAAATAAATAAAAATGTCCAGTCGCTGACGGTATTTATAATTGAGTACGGCTTTTGTGAAGCCTTTTAATTGAGCCTTTCTTTATAAACTCGGTGTTAGTTCTTATGTTTGTTGTTAATCCTTTTTTCGTATTATTAACGTTATTAAAAGTCCAAAACGATATATCAATTTTAGGCGTGCCACTGAATAACTAAGTCAGCAGCTTAAAATAAATAAAATTTAATATTAAGTTTTTTACGATTTTTTTTATTCGCGGTTTTACAATATAAAGAAGTACTAAAAAAGAAAAATTGTAGAACCGATTTTGTAAGCTGCTTTTTATTGATCATTATTAGTTAGCTACTGTCATTCTTTTTTAAATTCTTTTGTTAATTCCTTAGATATATGAAATTTAGTGAAAACTGCTCATTAAGTTGTTTTTTCTTTGGTCAATGCGTCCGAATTCGGATTAAGCCGGAGCCTTTTACATTTTATTTTATTAAGTATTTATTGAATATTTCAATTGAATGATTTACAAACAAAAAACAGGCTACTTATAATATATGTTAATTAGTATTTTGTAACCCGAATTCATTGGCAGTCACTCGTTTTACAAAAATTTATTTATTAAATCTAATAATTTACAATAAAAATATTATTCGGTCATTATTAATTGTGGCAAAAGCGTGACAGAGTAACCGAAACTATAGGTATTTCAAATAAAATTTTGTCCAAAACTTTCAGTAAATTAATAAACCGATCACGAAGAATGGCAACTGTGGCAACACTGACTAGTTGCCATCTCATAGCTGCCATCTTTCTTTCTTTGGCGCTGTCATCCTAGTTTATCCTATAGATAAGTTATTCCAGAAGCTATTAATAGTAAGTAGTATTGTTAATTTTTTCCATCATGTCAACCAAGGTTGAAAATTATAACGGTGACCATTTTGAATACATCAAAGTTAGCGAAGATGAAGATGACTCTAACGCCGTAGAAATTCCCTGTGAAATAGATGGCACCCTATTGCTTTCAACCCTCGTGGCCCAATTTCCCGGTGCTTGTGGATTGAAATATCGTCACTCAGAGAGCAAGTCTATTCGAGGTATACGTCTAAGTGATGGAAAATTGCATCCTCCGACGGAAGTAGGATGGGGAAAAAATTTATATATTTGTGTTTTTCCCAAAGAAAACAAGCGTAAGATGGAAGATGTATCCTCTGAAAATTCTGCCGCGAAAACTAAACGATTGGAGAAGAAATTAACGTGTTCTGACTTAATATGTTTAGGTTTACCTTGGAAATCAACTGAAGAATCCATTAAACAATATTTCGAGCAATTTGGGGAGGTCGTAATGGTGCAATTAAAAAGAGACAAAAATGGATCTTTTAAAGGGTTTGGCTTCATTCGTTTTGCTACCTATGCGTCTCAAATGAGAGCTTTAGCTCAAAGACACAATATAGATGGGCGCTGGGTTGATGTCCGTATACCTAACTCCAAAGAGGGAGTAGTGCCTCAGATGCCTTGTAAAGTGTTTGTTGGAAGATGCACAGAAGATATGACAGCTGATGACCTTCGCGAGTATTTCTCTAAATTTGGTGAAGTAACAGATGTATTTGTTCCTCATCCCTTTAGGGCATTTGGATTTGTCACTTTCTTAGACCCAGAAGTAGCTCAGAGTCTATGTGGCGAAGATCATGTAATCAAAGGTGCATCAGTATCTGTATCCAGTGCTGCACCAAAAATTAAAACAAAGGCTCACCAAAACTGGAAAGATGAGTCTTACGGTCCCAACAATTGGGATGGTAATCGATCTGGCCCTTCAGGAGGTTCAAGTAACAATGGTGGAAATAGTAATATAGATTCGCTTAACATGCAGAACTTGGGCATTAATCCCAATGGAGGCCCGCCAGCCAATTTTAATTTGCCCATCAGTCTTGTTGCTGCTGCTCTTAACCAAGCTGGTTGGGGAGGATTTCTGGGGGGTCCAGGTAATTCAGGACCCAACAATTGGCAAGGTGGCCCTCCACAAGGCAATCAAGGCAAAAATTGGAATGGCAACCAAAATTGGAGTCAAAATGGTCCACCACAAGCATGGAATCAAGGAGGTGGTGGAAATCAAGGTTGGAGTGGTGGAAAAGGTGGGAATTGGAATCAAGGAAATTGGCCCAGTGGACAAGGCAACTGGAATGGTAATGGCAATGGAGGTGGGTCTAGCTCTAGTTCTGGCAGTGGGTGGAATAACAACAAACCCCAAACATGAGGTGAGCACTACTGCAAACCATTGATACAGAAATATTAATATGGTAACAATAGGTTTTTAAATTGTTTTCTTAAAGTAAGTTTATATTTCTATGTAAAGTTGTATAAAGTTATGAAGTGATAGGAATATCACTAGATGATTTTATGGACGGATTAGTTCCAAATGATGGTTTATTAATTGTAAGGTGACTAGAGTATTGTGTGTAATATTGTGATGTGTGTGATGAGGACTTTTGTTCAATAAAGGTGTATGTTAGATATGGATGTTTAATTTTAGCTAAGAATAGGTGGGTGCTGAATCTAATACTAATCACAAATTTGATTTATATTATTACCAATTATAATAATTGGCTGAAAGTAATATTTCATGCAATTAAACTTCGAATTGGATGTGAGTGTACATCTGACTGTGGATGTGATCTATATTTGCAATTTGAAGCAAAAGCTTAGGATGTCAAGATGTCATTGGGTGTGCACAGCTGTGTGTGTCGTACAAGGACTGGCAATACGTCAGTCTACTTGAAATGAGATCTTCATATGGAATTGCGGTAAGTCATGTGTGTGCAATCAATGTGTTTGGTCTGATGTTTAATTATGTATGAAATTATGTATTTGTTCTTTCTGTGCAGTAGCTATAGAAAATGGATAAATGGCTTATCAAGCGTGCTAATAACCAGTGTGAGTTTGACTGATAAGACTGTGGTAACTATTTATTATTTTGTTTTATGAATTAGAATTAGGCATTTAAATTACATTTGTTAAATATGTAATGAAACATGTATAGAATTTTAAATGAAATATATTATTGCAGGAATTTTGCAATTTCTAAGACACTGCACATATTGTGAATTTTCATTAAAAAATGGAGATTATACATCTTGATTCTATACAGCTATAATGATGAAGCAAGTGTAAGTATAATAATTGATTAACATTAGATTATTTTAGCGTTTTACATGCTAGATAGAGAATTGCAAAGTAAACTAGACAATTGTAATAAAAACAATTTTCAAGATAAATCCATTCCCAGTTTTCCAGATCCATGCTTTACCTGATGCTACAATTATCTTTAGGGCACACATTACAAAAAAGTTAAAATCAAAAGTAACAGTGGGTACCTCTGTCTAACTAACTGCTTAATAGTTGCTCTTTCTTTTCAATTTTCACATTCTATATAATTATTTATGTACAAAGGAATTAAGGAAGTCACCTGGTTGAAACATTAACAATTCAGAGGTATAATCATCTTATTCTTGACTCATTATGCAGTTGCCTTTGTCTGTTGGCCCTAATTGTAATGTAAATAATTTTCCTGTCTATAATCCAAACTAAACATTCTACTTAAAAAATAAATAAGCACTCTAATTCACCTGAACTCTAGACTACATCTTGTGAAAACTCTAAAGTTTTAGCAAGCAATTTACTGTTTGTCAAATAACATGTGTAACAAATAAAAATAAATTATCATGTCACATCTTAAGAACATCAGGCTGGAATGTAATGAGTAATCCATTATCAATTTAATGATAAAAAAATTTGGAAATCTTCAAATCAAAATTAAATAAATTATTGGCAGGGTATGATGTCAAAATATTTTACACATAAACTAGCTGTACCCTGCCTGGCTTCACTGTGGCACATTGTGATTGCATAAACAGATAAAAACAATCGTTTGTATCGGTGGCATGTCGGACTCGAACCGATTAAAACCGCACGCCGTCTCGGATACTCATAGCCGGGGAACCAGGTATACCCTAGATAGGAAGTCCCTGGTGCCCCGACATACCTCGGGCCATCTACAGACTAGTAGACGACCCCCCCGTGTGGGAACCCCATGTTCCCTCCGCTCGCCGCCACCCCGACCTGCTAGGGTGACAGATGGCCTCACCTGTCACCCCCAGGCCTGCGCTTATGGAGGACGGAGGTCGTTCTGCGACCTTCGGGGCCCGAGTCGTCTGCGGTACCTGGCCCGTTCCCGGGCCGGGAGAGTTCTAAACCTCTCCCGGTCCCGCTCCGCCGTCTCCTTCGCGAGCATAACTTGCTCGCAGAAAGAGACAACAGAGTTCCACGCACTCTCGCTCCACACGATAGCCGCAATCAGGCTATCGAGCGAGAGAACTCCCACTTCGATGGCCGCATCGAGCTCTCGCCTCTGCTCAACTCACGCCGGGCACTGTCGTGTTGTGTCCACGGTCTGGCCATCGCAGTGGTGGCACTCAGGCGTTGGCTCCTTGCGGATCAGACACAGGTGATCCCCGAAACATCCTTCCGAGTGATCACCTGCGCCAGTCGGTATGAGAGGGTCCCGTGACGCCTCTCGATCCAATTCTCCATAATGGGTCTTACCGCCGGGATGACGGCGTGCCCGACATACAACTCCTCCTAAACGTTTATCTATCGTTTTGACGTCTAATGAAAAGATACTAATTTGACTTGACAGTCATTGACCCTTTCTGATACTGAATCGTCTTATGTTTTCAGGTATGACGAGAAACAGAGGGCTAAATTGACGCAAGCAATTGTTGCTGTTATATGAATAAATTGCTATGTATAAATAACGTATATTATTGAAACTTGTAATCACCCAAGACGCCTTTCGCAAATCCTTTAGACATTGAATATTTACGATATAAGTTGGACAACTATTACTCTAAAAGTATGAGAGCTAGCCAAACCATGATACTAAATGCGTTATATAGAAGATATATAATGGATTAAATAAAAAATAAGATGTCTATAAAAAAAATTGGCTCATAAAAAGGCACTTTTTTTAAGCCATCTTACTTTTTTTTCTATAATTTTGCAACGCTTAAAAGTCTACTGGTAGACAACTGAACTAAACAACTAATTATTGGCATAACATTCAGTTTATATATCCACACACAGGTTTATCGGTGGCCAAAAAAGGCCGCACACATTGTGATCGTGAACGTGGAGAGCTACATTTCATCATAACTTTTTAGTCACTTACAGTATTCTCACGAAAATTCGTATACATTTGAAGGTATTTACAAGCAATAGAATAACGTTTGTAGTAAGTCTTTAGAGGTCTTATTCAAAGTGTTAGGACGTATTGAAGTGTTTTCATACTTACCTAAATAATTTTTAAACGCTCCATTATTTTTGTTATTTTATTGTCGAACAAATTAAAACTAATTTTCGACATTATTTTGCTGGGGTAACGCACACCCAAACTAGGCAACCTAGAAACCTTATGATAGCACTAAACTTGCGCGTGCGCGTTCCTCGAGCATGTAAGCGACGCGAACGCCGCGTTTTACCAGCGTGCGGCATGTGTGCACGGCGCTTCGATAATTTCTCTCTCTAAATAAGACACCATTTTTACTCGTGTGTACACATCACTATCCGCCTTGTGGCTGAGGCACTTGCGGGTTACGGGGGTCGCGAGAGACGTCGCGTTCCACGAGGGACCAGCCACTGCCAGACCAGGCATTCGCGCTGTGCATATGCCGCGCGCTGATGGAAAGCGGCGCTTGCGCCACGACGTCGTCTTTCGCGCGCTTGATGAACGCGGACGCACAATTACAAGTATTACAAAATTAGGTCACTATAGATGCTCGAAATTTGAAAATAGAACGCATCAGTGTCATGTATTATTTAAAGGCAAATTTATTTGAAAATCGAACACAAAGGGCCATATACAGCAATAAAAAGTATTATACTGTAATTTCCCGCTTTTTCGTCTACAACAATGTAGCTTAAACGTGAACATTTGCGTGCTATGACATATTACGACTTTAAATGTGGTTTATCTAAACATTTAGTGTCACTGGCTGCCCTGCATCAGGGCCACGCTTGTATATCAAAAAAGTGAAGATCTGTTTTCTCCCAAATTTAGTTGCTAATTTGTCGAAATCAGTCGCCGAATATCAGAACATGTCGGTCACTGGTTCAAACGTTATAAGCGTTCCTAGGTGGCCGACCTAGCGGCTGTCCAGGACAGCCGGCTGGAACTTCGAGGAGCATTTCGAGCGGATGATCCCCCGAGCTTGTGGGGTGGGGGTGGGACTCCGCCCAGCATACGCTGGAAGACTGCCACCGTGTGGACGTCTGAACGCGAGGTCCTAGTCGACCAAATCGGTGCAGGCCTGTCACGGCTTGCAATCATTGCTGCCATGCTGGCGGGTGAGGAGGGCTGGGAGGTAGTGGTCTCTTTCTGGCGGATGAGAATGTAATGCTCCAGAATAAGACCGCTGAACGGGATCGGGAGAGGGCCGATCCCGGGCGTAAAGGACGTCGGCGGCGATATCAGCCACCGACGGGGCCGCAGACTGCCAAAGAGTGAGGAAGCCTCACGGGGAGAGCTTTCGATCCGAGGGGGGGCGGGGTTTAAATTGCATGGTCCGGGTCCTCCCCAGAGCAGGGTGCCTGGATGTCAAAAACCACCCGTTTTTAGTGGAGACACCGCATACTCTTGGCTCCTGCGTACCCTAGGAGCCGGAGATCCGAATGGACCTGGATTTTCCACCACATCAACAAATAAAGTTAACTAAATAAAAAGGTATGTTTGTATTGTGTTGAAGAAGACACGGAAGGAGAAGCCGTACGAGAAGCCAGCGCCAGCAAGAGGCTGACCAGAGGCGATTTGGAGGTGCACAACTGCCTACATTGGAAAGTCAGCAGCCACCAATGGAAGCCACTCCGTGCACATAGTCATCGGCTCCAGATATCACGGCTCTAATGATGATGTTCCAGGAGCAAGCCCGCCGTCAGGAGGAGCAGATGCTTTAGTTAAAAGGCATTCATGAGACTTTCGGCAAGGAGCTCAGGGTAGTGAAGGATCAGGTTCTTCAACACGAGAACCGTCTCACTAAAGCCGAAACCCAGATTGCAGACTAAGGCCCAGGCTATGAGCGCGCTCACCTTGGGTCTCCGAGATCAGGCCTTAACCGTCCTTAAAGCCCTCGGTAAGAAGGTAACCTATGAGCAACTGCTGGAACTCTCAAGGACGCCTTGGCCCATGCTTTAGAAGTGGAAGCT